CAATTCCTTGATAGCAGAGTTTTTCCTGCTTTCAAGCTGCTTTTCCAGCAAAATTTTTGCTAGTTGATTCCAGACTCCTTTTTTTCAAATGGAGTTTCCTAGCACAGAGGTGGTTTAACTTGTACTCTTCCCTCCCTTTGTTCTCACCTCTCATAATCTTCCAAAGGCTTCACTTGCTTCAGAGTGACACTTCCCCTTTGAGCCATGTCCAGTCACCTTGGGTTGTAGTGCACAGACACTGATGAGAGGTTGATTACCCCTTCACCACGCAGGATAACCTAATATTCCACAAACATATTTAATCTAATTATTCTCCATTGTCATCCATTGGTCTGGTTTAATTTCCCGTTTTACACTAAGGCACCACAGATCTAACCAAGCTGGCAGAGTGCTCCCACAGCATAGAATTGAATTATACTGTTTTTTCTGAGAATGGTTTGAAATGAAAATACTAAACTTTTTTCTTTGATTTACCAGTGGGTCCTGATTCTAGCCCAACTGATAATTTCTCTACAATAAAGGTGTCCCATCTTCTATCAAGTTGATAACGGCATTTGTTTGGCCCAATTTGTTTGGAAAGCTTTTTTTACACTTGGGACATAGACCTGGAGGTTTACATGCTCTTTGTTCTTCTTTTTTTTAGCATTTTTAAACACTTTTCTCTTATGGCCTAGCTTCCCACATTTATGGCATTTGATATTAACTGGGGGATTTACCCTCTGATCTTCCAGCTGCCCAATTTGAGATGTCAATATAGCATTTACCTGCTTCTACTATAAGATTCATCTGATCTCTCAACTGTATTTCAACTGCTGTATCTCATTTGCCATCATTTTTCTCTACTGGCTTTTTTTTCTTTCAGCCTTTTACTTTTTACAATCTTTCCTTTTCAATTAGCTGTTTCTTTTTACTCTGGAGTCTTGTTTTACAAAACTTTACTTCCACTATTTTCTTCACCAGCCTCAATCTACCTCAATTCTTTTCTTTTTAAACAGAACTCTTAACTGCCAAAAAGGGAATCGGGGCGTCGGTCTCTCAAAAGCTACTTCCTGCTGGCATTGGGCGAAGGTATTAGGGGAAGGCAGTTAGAAGTTCTCGTCCCTAACTTAATAAACTCTTGCAACCTGTTCCCAAACTTTCCTCTTTGCTGTTTTACCAAAGGCTTTTCTCACCCCTGAGGCTAAAGGCTTGTTTACTAAAGATTCCTATCTCCTAGGTCTAGCCTTCCTCTTTCCCTCTTGTTTAGAAGCTTTTTTCTGTTTTTCTCCAGCCACTTCACAGAAGAGGCTAAAGGCTTTTACTAGCTCTTTTCCCCACAAAAGTAGAATTTAGAAAGAGAAAACATAGGAAAGAAGAGGAAAAAGCAAATGAGAAAGGCCTGCTGTTAGCTGTCTTTCTTAGATATTTCTTTTCCCTCTAAGTATTTCTATTTCTCTTCTCTTTATCTTATTTTGCTAAAGCTTATTTTTCTCTCGGTCCACGTTCTCTGAATCCTGCTCACAGCACCAGTTGTCAGTCGTGTTCACTATCCTGCTTCTGACACCACTTGTCAGGGCCCGGGACTGGCCAGATCTCGGGCCCAGATTAGGTCAGTTCTGGACATGGACCACTAAGCCACCTTGCTCAGGAACAGTTTCTCGTAGGTGCTTGAGGGCTATCTACTTTATCTGGAGAGAGAGAGAGACGGAGTATCTTAGAGAGAGTAAAGGTCTTCTTAGAACAGATAGATCTTAGTCTTTGGCAGAGCTTGATAATTTTTAGCAGAGAGACACCGTGCTGGCGTTCTGCAGGCAGGAGAGGAGACAGAGTCAGAGTAAGTGGAACCATGATAGAATGCACATGCCTCTTGACTGCCTTCTCCTCCAGCCTAATATAAGGCTGAGCTCGTGCTTCTCAACACCACAGGTGTAGAGACTGCCAATTCACCAATGCTCTCATCTCGTGAGCTCACTCATGCTTGTTAGAACCAAATCTCTCTCCATGCCCTTTTCACCAAGGTGTTCCATTACAGGTATTTCCTATAACTCTCACTCCTCCTAGCCATAGGCTGTACGGGCTGCTACAGCTCTGTCCCTAATTCCCAACACTTTTAACCCTATGGTCTATCCTACAATACGTAAAGAGAATTTCTATAGCTGAATACTGTAGCTGACACGGAGAATGTATCGGATAACATTAATAGCACATTAGACACCAGAAGAAAAATAGTAGAGCACATTAATACACAGCACTAGAAACTATTCAAAATGAAACAGATCAAAAAGACTGAGAAAAATGAATAGAACATCAAAACTGTGGGAAAGTATCAAGTGGTCCAACATATGTGGAACTGGATCCTAGAAGGAGTGCGAACAGAAAAAGTATCTGAAGAAATAACGGCTGAAAATATTCCAAATGTGATGAAAACTATAAACCCGTAGATTCAAAAGTCTTGATAAACTGAGAAGGAGGCGCATGAAGGAAACCGCACTAAGAAGGCACAATATAACCAAGCTGCTGAAAACCAATGATAAAGAGAAAGTGTTAAAAAGCAGTGAGGAAAAAGGCACCTCATACGCAGAAAAAAACCCAAAATGAAACATGATGGCACACTTATCAGAAACAAGGCAAGCCAGAAGGCAATTAGGGATATCTTTATAGTATTGGGAGGGTGGGAATGAAGGAATCTGATCATTTAGCATTTTATACAAAGCAAAAATATCCTTTTCAAATGAAGCTCAAATAAAGGCTGATTTACATATACAAAAGCAGAGGTGATTTCTCACTAGCAGACCTGGAAAAAGATGTTAAAGGAATTCCTTTCGCTGGAAGAAAAATTATACCAGAGGATATTTAGATCCATACGGTGGAGTAAAAGGTTCCAGAAAAAGTATCAATTATAGAGATGTTTTTTCCTCATTTTAATATCTTAAAAAGATGATTATCTAAATGTTAAAGCAAAAATAGTTATGGAGTATATTATGTAGGTACAAATAAAAAGTAGGACGAGAGCACAAAGGCTGGGGGGGTAGAAACACATTGTTGCAAAGTTCTTCCAAGTGAAATGGTGGGATAGAATATGAAGGGAGGCCGTGATAAGCTAGAGGGACAGACTATGTGAAAATCAGAGAGCACTCAAAGTGACGCTAAAGAGCCAGCAGTGGGGGTAAAACCCCATTACAAAGGTGCAGTCCGAAAGAAAATGGGAAGGAAGGGGAAAAGAAACAAAGACCAGATGGACCAGCAGAAAACAAACAGCTCACAGGTTTAAGCCCAGCCACAGCATTCATCATGCTAAAGCACATGGAAAGAGCACTATAACTAAGGAGCAAATTATAAGATCAGGTAAAAAGGGTATATGAGGTATGACTCCATTTATATGGCATTATGGAAAACAAAAGTACAGCAAGGAAAGCTGATCAATGGCTGCCTCGGCTCCAGGGAAAGGGGAAGTACAGACCACAGCGACTGCTGACGGTTCTGGTGATGGGACTGTCTCTACCTTGACTGTGACTGCCGGTATATGACTGTGCGTGTTAATCAAAGGTCAGCAAGTATTATGCTAAAGATGGTGAATTTTATTATGTTCCAATTATACCTCTATAAAGATGATGAAAAGGAAGAAAGGGGGAGGGAGGGGAAGACAGAAAGAAAAGAGAAGGAAAGAAAGAGGGAAAGAAAAGGAACAGGGAAAGGGGGAGCAGGAAGGGGAGAGAAGGAAAGGAAAGAATGAAAAGAGAGATCAAATATTCCTGTTTTCAAAAATACACTGGCTTCAGTAAGAATAATTTCCACGGGCACTTTGCCCCATTATGTAAAACATTTCAGGCCTTTTGGTCTGCCCACATCCACAGTCTGATATGGTTTCATTCTTACCCCAAGGAATTTATCAAGCTTTGGTACCAAAGACAGCAGCATCCCAAAGAGAAATTCTAGCACCAACTAATAATAGAGAAACTTTCACCCAACTAAACGAGGAATGCCTCGGGAGGAGAGACCACCCATCCCACTTGGCTATCTCTGACACTGACCTCTCCCTTTTTGACCTCCCCTCCTCCATCTCTACCACATCTTCCTTTTATTGTGGAAAGCCCACCCCCCCCCCGCCCCTCTGCACTTCTTTTAATCTTGAGCATCTCGGATCCCTCCCTTCAATATGGAAGACTACTTTCTACATCCCCTCATCTCCCACCAGCAGGGAAAGTCAAGTATACACGGAAGTGTTAATGGTGGCTCTTTTTCTACCTTTCAAAATGTGAAGGAGGCACAAATGCTTTTAGTACATGGATTGTTTTTATAACGCATAAGTCAGGGCTGTTAGTGTGCCCATCATCCAAATAGTGTTTATGGTACTTGTTAGGTAGGTGTTTACCCCTCTTTTCCTCCTCCCTCGATGGTGGGTGTTTGGGTGTGTGAAGAACTGCAGACAGACATCTAAACTTCAGAGGACAGGCACGTTCACAGTCACAAGGACAACTCAACTAGTGATAGGAGCCAGATGCTGAGGCTCTCGGGGAAAATTTGGGATAACTGGATGAAATAAAGTAGTAACATGGGGCTGAGGGTGACAGCAGTTGGAAAGAAAAATATGAAATAGCAAAACAATACATAAACAGCTCTGAGTATACCTTCATCTCGGGCTAAAAGGCTAAGTATGTCTTGTCAAGCACCATAGAGAAAATACAACCTGTTCTCATATTCTGAGCTGATCTGCCAATCAAAGGTGATTCGATTCTCTGATTATATTTAAATAATCATTGTTCAGACATCCTGGAAAATTAACTTGCTAAATCAGAATTTACAAGTGACATTTCTTATTCTTCCCATCACCATGGTACCAACACCTTTATACATGAGCATAGACGTCAATATGTGTGAATCAGTCCAAATAATAAAGGTTCACTATGGAAAAGGCGTGTATGTCTCCTGAGAGCTTCGCTTAGGTTCTTCCAGGTTTAAGGCTGATTAAAAAGTAGTCCTTAGAAACTGCCTGGTTGTCTTAATGGCTTTTACTTCCCCAGGTGCTTCTTACGCTGACCACACATACCCCGTGGAGAGGATGGATGATGCCATAGCGCCAGGCCAGGAGTATACCTATGAGTGGATCATCAGTGAGGACAGCGGGCCCACCCCCGACGACCCTCCCTGCCTCACACACATCTATTACTCCCATGAGAACCTGATACAGGACTTCAACTCCGGGCTGATTGGACCTCTGCTGATCTGTAAAGAAGGTAAAAGCAATAACAAGAAAAAAAGACTTTAAAAAGTTGGAATGAAAAAATGTGGGCATTGTAAGGGGTTCTATAATGGGACGGGGCTTGGGAACACCTGGACATCTTCTTGTACCTTGAGCGAAGGAGAGAGTGCAGAGAGCAGAGAATTGTTTGACAAGAGAAAAAACACCTAATATTGGAGGGCTTGGGCCTCCTTTGTTTCTTCTAATTCTTCCTTTGCCTCAATCCCAAAGGTTCTCCCAAATAAATTCCCATCTGAGAGTCTGTTCTGACACCATGCTCATATGATGTCACATTTGCCTACAGGGCAAAGTGGGGGGGTTTTATTTGTTTTAATTTCAGGTTAATACTGAGGTACAGACAATTCAGTTACACTGTTTGCATTTGCCCCCTGTTGTAGTTAGGGCACTCCTCCTGGGGGAGGGCCACAAGTCCTTGCATTGTGTCCGTTAGCTGGGAACACACTAATCTGTCCCCGTCCTACCCTCTCCCCGTAGCTTGAATTGAGTTTTTCTCTTGTGTGATCATTATCTGTTCATCTGCTGGCTTCATATTAGTGCTGAGTACACTGAAACAGAGTTTTTTTGAAAGTGGACTGGCCTGTACTCTGCTGGAAGGGCTCCTGGAAAGAACTTTGGCTAATATACCTGACATATCTGGGGTTTGGGTTGGTAATTTGGTCTATAAATACGTGAAAATCCAGCTTCGTTTCTCATGAACAAGCTGAATACTTCGGATGGTGGGTTTCAGACATACACCACTGACTTTCTAGGAAATTATATTGGTTGGGCTTCTTAAGAGGAAGCTTGGATTTTACCACAAGAGATTTCAGCTCACCTTTTGTTCACACAAGCAAACAATGACAGTGAACTCTGCCCTGGAAAATAACGTGATGGACTCTCCATCACACAGACCATATATATCCCAACACCGTTCCAATTTATTTATTCATTATACAAATACAGTTTTTTTCATTGCCTGTTACATAGAAGATACTGTGATGGCCCTGAAAAACTTTAAAACTTATAAAAGACTCTTTTTCCATTTTATAATTAATCAGGATTGCTTTCCTCATACGAGAATGGATTAATCCTGATACTTCCAACTCAGCCCCATTTTGCATACAAACAAGATGAGAGCATTAAACTTGAGGTGTGATGCTTTGACCAGCTGAGCTAAGGCACCTGCCTGCTGGCCTGTTAAGACTGGTGGAAATGGCCAGTGTGTAGAATCTTGACAGATGCTCTGTCTGAAAACAGCAAATGTTTTCCTTGTACCAGATAAACTTGACCTTCAAAGCCTTGTGCTCTAAGCCTACAAGGTACCAAAGCAAACAATGTGGCATTTGTTATCAGCATTTTAATAACCCTCCACCATGTCACCTGATAAAGGTGCTGTTTTTTTTTTTTTTGTAAAAAAGAACTACTTCATCGTCTGAATGTATTTATCTTCGTTTGTTCTTTACGAGGTTTTTGTTTCGTATCCTTAAAACATTGTTATTGTTATTAAACTTTAAGCCTCTTTAATCCTGTGAAGGCAGAAAGTAGAAACCTAATAAATACATGTATATGTAAAAAAAAAAAAAAAAAAAAAAAAAAAAAAAAGAGCTACTTCAAGTTGCCATTATTATGGCTGGTTGCTTGCCCTGAACTCTTCGCTAGCTAAGAAAACTAATTCTCCCCAGAATGGAATGCTATTGAAAACACGAGCTTTCTCTCACAGGCACCCTAAGTGAGGATGGGACTCAGAAGATGGTTGACAAGCAGCATGTGCTGCTGTTTGCTGTGTTTGACGAAAGCAAGAGCTGGAGCCAGTCGTCGTCCCTAATGTACACCGTCAATGGCTATGTGAATGGGACCATGCCAGGTAACGCGTGGGCCAAGCTCCACCCAACCACAGCAGAATCATCTGTGCCTGTTGTTTTCTTCAAAGCACTAGGGAAGGTGGCCAGAGTCACTGTTTGGCAGCTCCTTATCAGAAAGGCGGTACAATCCAGTGCCGGAGTCCAAGACTTTTATTAGTATTATTTTAAACCAGAAAGTACAACAGAGGCATTAGAAGCTAGCAAAGAGAAGGAACGTGCAGCCTTATTAGGTGCAGTGATCTAAGCGGGTTTCACGTTGACCTCCCCAAAGACCTAGAGGATATCAGCTCAGTGCCTCTCCATTAGTTCTGTGGTCCCTACTGCCCCATGATCATTCCTCCTCCTGCTGAAGTTCAAGGTCAATCCCTGGCAGGAAGAATGCAACAAGGATACTTGCAGTGAAGATGGAGAGGTTGGAAATAACCCATAACACACAAAAAGTGCTGGTAGCACTTCAAGAAGTGATAAATGAGTAACATTCAATGGCGTGGAGGATGCTTTCTCTTTCCATCTGCGTGTAGACTCTTGTGAGAAAGCAGAATCACAGCAACTGCTAAAGAGAAAAGCAACTGACTCCCACCTAGACCACACCACTCCTATCAGGTCGAATCCACTTATAACTGAGGATCCAGGGTACATGGTACCAACCCGAGGGGGGAAATGGAAAAATGAAAATATCACTTTACTAAAAAAGGTTAATACATTAAACTTTGCAGAGCTTGTTTTCTAATCTCTGACAGGCACAAATGGCAAATGGCTTCACTTATTAAAAAAAATCAAATATGGTTAAGAGTTGAGTTCTGGGTATTGCTTGTATTTTATTTTGTTTGACTCCATCTTCCACTCAGATTATTAGAAACATTCTCATACGGATCTGGAGATTGATTCTGAATTCAAAAAGTAGGCGCTTACAAACCTGGGGCTAGGTTATTAAAAACATTCTCATATGAATCTGGATATTGATTCAGAGCTCAAATACCAGGAAGTTGTAAACCTGGGGCCGAGTGAACTGCCCTCCACCTTGGGATGTCCATGTTCAGACCTCGCTCACTTCTCTATTGTCTCAATGAGCCGACCTACATCAGTGGATGAGCCGTCTATCCTCACAGCTATTTCCCAGTAGAATGAACCATCCATGTAAATATATTAAAGCCAGAAAAAGCAAAGCCACATGCACAAAAATAAAGATTGGCAACACGATCAGAGCAGAGAGTTTTGGAATTTATAGTTGAAAAAGAATAATTTTGGATAAGAGGGGCAAGGTAGGGAAACATCACTGGCAGAAAATGACAATAGTCCATGCTTATAAACCCTCTGCCTTATGGAACAGGATCTGAATAATGGCACAGATGCTAATACAGATCTGCTGAATTCAATATGTGCATCTCCCTGGGAGCAGATAAATGCTTCCACCAAAGCCTCCGACATTCCAGCTTCTGTTCTCATCAGTGACAATAGGAATCTCTGCCTTGTTTCAAGAGCCTCCTAAAAAAAGACAAGCCCCGGCCAGGGGAGGGGACTGATTCTGAGCCCTGCTATGTAGCATCTCATGATTATGGCTCTGAAATTTGAAACCTAACCCTAGAAGCCAGGGTTGGAGTCTCTCACAGAGCAAATGAGTGTTTTCTCATGGCTAGGGAGCGAAGGAACAAAACCCAGCCTTATACTTAGTTATTATTACTCCACTCATGAAAAGCTCCCAGCAGCCCACCATAATGAGGCCTTGTCTACTGCATTTTAAAGAGAGAGGGTAACCCACATAGGACTTCATTGACCTGTCATTAAAACAATCAAAAAGTGAGTAAAGAAGTAATAGAAAAGCCTCACATCATCTTTACATCTTCTGTCCAAGAGATGGAGCTTTGACCTCTTATCTAGCCTTGGGGATTAGGCTCTTGAGCTCAGCCCTGTTGGAGGTTCTGGTGACTCCCTGCAGCTAAGACCAGATTGATGCAACTCAGTATAGCAGGTGCTGACTATGTGTTTGGTGAGTAAATTTTTGATCACAGATACTGGACTGAATGTCTGTTTTGGCCTCTGTCTCTCTCCCTCTCTCAGATATAATGCTTTGTGCCTATGATCATGTCAGCTGGCATCTGATTGGAATGAGCTCTGGGCCAGAAATGTTCTCCATTCATTTCAATGGCCAGGTCCTGGAGCAGAACCACCATAAGGTCTCAGCCATCACCCTCGTCAGTGCTACATCCACCACTGCAAATATGACCGTGAGCACCGGGGGAAGGTGGACCGTATCTTCTCTCACCCCCAAACATTTGCAAGGCAAGAAACTCTTCTGACAGTCTTATTTCTGGACACACTCCTTTCTTCCTAAGCATTATCTTCTCTCTTTCTCTTTTGCTCTTTTAAGCCACCTGCACCCCTGACATACATTGCTAAGTTCCTAAGGATAGAGTTTAGACATTTGCTCTTAGATTGATAATCCATTGGTTGAGGATAAAGGAAGTGAA